CTGGATAGGGCTGGAGCCCATTCTACTAAGTGAAGTATCACAAGAATGAAGAAACAAGCACCGCATGTACTCACCATCAAATTGGTATTAATTGATCAACACTTATGTGCATATTTAGCAGTAACATTCATCAAGTGTCAGGCAGGTGGGAGGGGGGAGTGGGAGATGGTTATATTCACACCTAATGGTTGTGGTGTGCACTGTCAGGGGGATGGACATGCTTGAAGCCCTGATTTGGGTAGGGCAAAGGCAACAGATGCAACCTAAACATTTGTACCCTCATAATATGCTGAAATAAAAAGAAAAAGAAGAAAGGGAGAGAGAGAGAGAGAAAGCGAGCGAGCGAGCAGACAGGCCTGACCTAAATGCCCAACTGCTAGCAGCAGAGGAGGTATGGACTGTGTTTGGAGATCTGTCCTTTGAAAGAACCTATCAGGGAGCACAGACAACATGCACACCTGTGGTTCCCCTTGCAACAGTAATTCTAAAAGCACTACAGTCTTTGTGTGGGACTTAATTTGGAGAAAAGTTTACAAACAGTGGACACAACAGTAGAAATTCCTATGTCCAGTTTGTGGTGTGGATGTGAGCTCACTCCCTGCTAGAATAGCTGGTGGTCTCAAGTCACAGCAGTTATTGCCTTGCCAGTGATGTAATGGAACTGTCTCCTTCCCAGGTCTTTGACTTTAAATTGAATGAGGAGGAGATGGCGACCTTACTCAGCTTGAACATAAACTGGAGGGCCTACAGCCTGGATCAGTAAGTGGCATGGGGTTAAGTTAACAAGTTCTCCTAAAGTGGTAGAAGGTTCTCTGGAAGATTGGAAAGCACTTGTGATGACCTTTGTCTCCAAATTGCTATTTTCTTGCATTAAAAAAAAAAAACAAAAAACTAAGGTTGGAGTACCTGGGAATCGTTATGAGGACAGACACATTCCTAGTTGATGTTCATTGTCTGAAGTTCTGGATGTAGAGCTAGAATTTTAAGAGAGGACCAAGTCATCACTGGGTAGTAGACAGTGCATTCATTCATTCATTCATTCACTCAGTAATGGGAGGAGATGCAGTCAGAAAGAGGTGTCAGGGGCTTGGAGGGTGGAGAGTGGTGTAAGCTACATTGATTTTAGCTTTGAGTGGAGTGAGAAGTCATTGCATGATTTTGAGCAGAGGAGGGGTGTGATTTGACCCATGTTTTAATGGAACCACACTGACTTCTGCACTAAGAGAGCACAGGAGACTGTTGTAATCATCCAGGAAGGAGGGTCACGGGACCTGGGTAATGGTGGTGGAGGAGCAGAGGATTGACTGGATTCTACGTATAGTGGGAAAGTAGAGTCAAGTGAATTTGCTAACAAATTAGGAGTCAAAGATACTTCCAAATTTTCTTTGTTCATTTTTGTGTTTGCCTGAACAACACAAGAAGGGACTTGCCATTTGGGGGAAGACATCAAGAGTTTGGTTGGAGACATGTTTGTGATGCTTCTTTGACATTTAGGAGGGAGTTTCAGACAGGCAGTTGAGTATATCAGTGTGGAGTCAGGGATCAAGGTTTGGGCTACAGGTAAATATTTGGCATATCGGTGGTGTTTAGGGACACAAGATTGCATGAATTCAAGAGAAATTATACCATCAATTATAGAATTCTCTAGTTCTAGGCATTTTCTCATCCTAGGCATTGTTATTTGAATGCCTCTTAGAGGTAGAAGTACTTTTACATTAAATCCTTTACATTTTTTATAATTATTTCACAAAAAATAGTCACAATGACTAGGTGATCATTATAAATTATCTCTTTTCCATCAATACTTTCTGATAAATGTAGCTAATGAAACATATCAAAGACTTTTGTTTTGAGGAATTTGACTTGTAAAATTTATTATTTCCAAGTCCCAAATTCAACCACAGTTTGAATCTCTTTTTATGTTTTTAAAACCCAAACTTCATTTTTCACTATTGAAAAGCTGTTTGACTGTTTCCAGCCTTCCTCTCATGTTATAATATTCCACATCTCTGCTGCCCACAGTCTATATCTCATAGCAACCAGTACCAATCTGACAATTGCTACTTATATCAGAGGTCAACAAATAGCAAGTATATAGAGTAAAGAGAAATAGTGAACATAAATGTGTCTGTCCCCAAAACTTAGCTGCTTCTCCTCCTATGAACATCATTTCCCCTGGAGGCAGTGGATTAGAGGGGGTGGGGGTCAGGAGAAAATCTCCCTTGTTTCAAATCCCAGCTCTACCACTGATTTATGAGCTGTGCCACAGCGGGTAAATTTGCTGTTCCCCAAGATGGCTTCTTTACAAAGTAGGAATGATAATACTAATCACAGCTAATATCCACTGAATGTTAGCTTAGCATGTGCCAGAGTCTTAGGCCCTTTCCCTGTGTTACTATGTCACTTAATACTCACAACAATCCCCAAAGTGTTATTTCCCACCTCACCATGTGGTGAGAGTGAGGTGAGACAGTCCTGGAAGGCACCTAGCTGGGCAACAGGTGCACATAACCTGTCATTGCGGGTTTATTCTTGTGCCCTGGTCCCTCCTTGCCTGGCCTCCTTCCTAGCACGGCCCTCACATCAGCCTGAGGGAGGGTCAGGTGAGAGCACCCTTCCTGTGTGCTTGCAAAGTCTTTGGGGAGGCGCCTGAGAGAACACACCAGAGAAGAATGACTTTTAAACCTGAATTGTTGTTTTTGTGGAACAGGTTCTTCTTTATGCTTGTTTTCTCTGCAGGTATTCTCATTTGGAGGATTTTCCCTTCAATGCAGAATATTGAAGCTGAGTGTCCTGATGGAATTACCCAGTGGTTTCTTTCTCTACAATGAAGTGTTATTCTCTCCACCTGAGCTGCCTTTTAGCCAAGCTTGTCTGAAATCACACGGAGCCTGGCCCCGTTGTAGGCCAGAATCCAGGCAGTGTTGTATCTAGATGCACATGTTCAACTAGGAGAAGATTATCACAGAAAAGCGTGGCTCGGATAAGGAAATGACAATTGGTTTTCACTTATTTGATCTGAACAAATGGTTGTCAAACACCAGAAATTCTGATAACAATGAGTATGCAAAGAATCAAATGAATAAAACATAATAACAGTAACACGCATGTGTTGAGGGTTTACTATGCACCAACACAAATCAAAGTGCTCTTCATGTGGGTGTAGAAATTGAATCTTGGAAACAACCCTTTGAGGTAGGAGCCCTTATTGTTCACGTGTTGCAGAAGAGGACACAGCGGGGCTGGGGGGACCAGGGAACTTGCTCCAGGCCCCCCAGGAGTGAGAAGTAAACCAAGCTGTACAGGAGTGGGGGCTGGGGAGCTCACGTGATTGGTCATCCTCATCCTCCCAAATCCTCTCCTGGCCTCTTCCCTCCCTGCCTTTCTGCACTCTTGCCCTGTGTGGCTCCCCATTTCTGCCCTTAATATACCACTATGCCAAAGTGTCAGAGGAAATACCATGTCCTTATCCCTGCAGCCTCATCACCACCTGGCGGGACACAGAAGCAGATGGGTGGCCGTGCTAGTAACAGTCTGCAGATTCCACAAGGTGCCACTGTTCACTGAGACAGGCGCGATGTGTCCTTGGGAGTGGGGTGGAACACAGGGGCCAGTCTGAGCAAGCAAAATGCTTACTCTTGCCTTTTATGTGACACATTTTTTTCTATAATAATTATGAAAATTTCCAATTATATAGAAATATATAGGGAATGATGAGCATCTTGTTACCTACTTTACCAATGTAACAAATGCTAATATTTTGCCATATTGGTTCCAAACTTATTTTTAAAATTTTTTTTAAAGAAATAAATGTTTGCCAATATAGCTGAGGCCCACTTTGGACTCCTCCGCAGGGGAAATGTCTATCCTCAAATTCATGACTGCCCTCATCCTTCCTCTCCTGCTCATTCACCTACTCACTCTCACCTCCTGTTCTGCCTTCCATTAATTCTGCATGGCGCAGGGGGTGGAGGGTGATCTACCCCTCACTTCCCAGGATTCCTTGCCATGTGGCTTCCTCTGGGTTTGCTCAGTGGGAGGGACTGTGGGGAGACTGCAGGGCTGGAGGAAGGGAAGAGTCAGATGTCTCTCTCTCCACCTTGAGTGGCATCTCCAACAGAAGTCATACTTCCTCTGTGGTCCCAGCTAGTGCCAGGCAGCCTCCAACTGCTTCTGTGTCCTACCAGGTGGGTGATGAGGCGGCTGCTGGGACAACAATCTGGCATTTCCTCTGGTGTCCTCCACCCCTTGGAGTGGTTGTCTGTTCCCACAGCTGCTAACCTCTGATTGCCTCATCTATTCCCGTTGACATCCTAGCTCTTCCATCACCTGTGCCACCAATTATTTGAAATAAATATCTAATGTTCGAAAATCTTAGAGTGGTTTCTCTTCTCCTATCAGGACCTTTAACTGATATACTTCCCATCTACAGTTTACATTTTTACTATTTATATGTACATCCATACATAATCTATAGGATTGTTTCTGTTATGTGGTAACCAGTTAATTTTCTTTCACATAATTTTCAAATTTTTTATAATAGACAAGTATTTTTCTTTTAAAATCAGAAGTACTAAGGACTTAAAATAACAGATAAGAAATCAACTCAGTTATTTCACACATACACTGGGAAAGTCAAAGAAACACTTTTACTTAAAATTATTCTCATTTACTGGATGTTTCAACTTTAGTAAACACATATTCTGAATGCACAATGCAGTGGAATTTGATTGCATTTTGTTTTAAATTCTACCCAGTTTATTGTTCCTTATTTTTTGTCAGTAGGTAAATATTTTCCCAGAAATTTCATGAAAGTTTTTCACCTTTAAAACTTTATATTGCTTCCACTCATCACGTTGGCTGATTCAAAAATGTCAGCCCACACTTAAGGTGGGGAGAGTTGATGGGGACCAAGACAACCTTGACCATCATTAAAAAGTACATAGGATACATGGTTTGGCTTTATCACCGAGCTTGGGCTATGGAGATTTTCCTTTGCTTTTCTCACTGCCTGGGATGCTCTGCCCTCAGATATCGAAATGATCCTCTGCCTCATATATATATTTTTTTAATTTCTTTGCTCATTTATCATCCTCTCAGGAACATGTTTAAAATTAATCCATCTCCTCTAACACTCCCTCTTGCTTTTCTGTGCTTTCTTTTCCCCCAATAGCATTTATCTAACATATTATGATTTGTTATTTATATTATATTTGTTATTTTCTTTCTTGCTGCTTCTGTTTCTACCCACTTGAATGTAAGCTCTGTGGGAGAAGGATTTTTGTGTGTTTTGTTAATTGCCACATTCCCTGTGCCTCAATGATATCTGTTGAATAAACAGATGGGTGGATGGATGGAAAATATTTTTACTCTAAGTTTACAAATGGGAAAAACTGAAACCAGATCTGTTAGTTGTTACAACCCATGATGCCTACTCACATAAACTGAAGTCATTGTATGAAGAACTCTACAACTAGTCATAAATCGCAAAGATTGTATATACCTTTCTTAAGCTGGAACTGAGGTGGCCTTTAGGAGTCAGGGATTATATGGGGATAATGTCAGTGTTTAATTCATGATCAGATTTTTACTTCTGTTCTCAAGTCTAATGGTGGAGGGTAAAACACATATTGAGGGACCATTAATATTTTCACACTTCAATTCTACTTGTTATACTCCATACTAGAAATAGGTGCATTGCTCTTATTAGCAATTCTTTCTTAAGTGTGAGTTGAACAGTTCTTGCTTGCATATAGGTCATAGTCCCAGAATCTATTTTCTACCATGACACAGTTTTCATGAGGCATGAGGAGCACTGAGCAGGGAAGAATGGCCATGGTACTACTGACCATTAGCCAGGGGATGCTAATAGCTCAGGTGAGAAGCAGGGTCACAGACAGCCTATATGTCAGCCTCCCAGGGGCCTTTGGCTACCTGATTGGAAAAAAACTATACCCCAGTGCTACAATGTTGGGATAATTCTTAAAATTAAAGATAAGTGCTCCTCTGTATTTATTGATAAACAGAATTCATAGCCTTACTCTCTATGAATATTAATATTCTAATTATTTTAGTTTTTGTTTCTTCCTTACTAGTATTAAATATTAGTAGTTTTCCTAGGGCTGCCATAGTGAATTACCACAAGTTAAAAGACAAGAAATTCATTTCTTCCCAGTTATGGAGGCCAGAAGTCCAAAATCGTATTCCCTCTGAAGGCTCTAGGAAGGAATTATTTCTGGCCTCTTCCTAGTTTCTGGTTCCATCTGAGGAGTTCCATGTCTTATAATTTCACTTTGATTTCTGCCTCTGCCTTCACGTGGCTTTCTTGTAAGGACGCCAGTTATTGGATTTATGACTCACCCTAATCCGGTATGTCCTCATCTTAATTCAACTAGCTATTTCTGCAAAGACCCTGTATTCACATTTGGAGGTTCTGAGTGGACATGGTCTATTAGGGAACACGATTTCACCTACTATAGAGTCTGACACATTACTCTGCCCATAGTCAACTATGCTCAATATTTGTGAGATTATATTTATGGACATCTTTGATAAAAACTTTATATTCATTTGTTACCTAAATAGCTAAAACAGTATCTCTTGACATCATCTACTGCACATTTCAGCACTGCTTTTCTCAGTAGCCTGTTTGTTTCTGTATGTATTCTTTCTTCTGACTCCCGGGACTCTGTATTATTTTATCCAGGGCAAAGCATTTTCAGTTGTGTTTGCAAGTGTTGGCAGCTTCACCAGCACCATGACTTTGCATTTGCAGTCTCTGCACTTGGACATGGAAATTCTGCCTCATGCAGTTTAGTCCCATAACATTGAGATTTGCTGCCCCTGTAGAAGAATCCAAATTGCCTCATATGACTGGAGGGGTTCACTGGGTGTTTATGCATTTGGCCTGGGGGCATTTTGCTCTTCAGAGCCAGGCCCACTGGAGGCCAGGATAGCTAGCTTTCTAGGTCCCTGGCCACCCTCTATCCTAAGGTGAATGTGGTAGACAGGATTCTCAATACCCTCCAATGACCCTCAGCCTTGTAATCCCCTTTTCTGAGTATAGGTGGAACCTATGAATATGTTAAGATAGCACTGGCATGACTGTATTGTAAAAGAGATTTTACGGCTATAATTAATGTTTCAAATCAGTTGACTTTAAGATTGGAAGATCCTTGGGGAGGGCCTGACTTAATCACATAAGCCCTTGTTTTACTTCTGTTTATTAGACAATCACATATGCTGAAAATGACATAGCAAGAAAGAAAAGATATGGCAAACCATGGTTCCTTTTCCTTTCAGTGCATCCTTACACAACAGTAAGCCAAAGTACGACATGTAGGCTAGACTGTGTACTTGTCAACATTTGAGTTAGTTTGGGGCAGTGTGTCCATTGTTCTGGTAAGAACAACATACATATGCATGTATGAACCCCAAAATATGAGCTGTGTAAAGTTGGTAAATATGTATATAAGTTAAATGCTTTTGTGTTCGCATTTAAAACTGGTATTGCACAATAAAAAGACAAACAGTATAACTCATGCTAATAATGAAAAGGTTTAATTTTTCTTTACTTAAAATGACATTAAATAACCAATAAAAACATTATTACAATTTGAGAGACCATGAAAAATAGGGGAAAAGATTTATATTTTAGTACCTTTAACAGCAGTTTTTCCTGATTTTTGGATAAAGTTTTCATTTTCCTCTGGGTTCTGCAAATTATGTAGCCACCTATGGAGCATGATTTCTCACTGTAAAAGAAGGAGCGTGATTTCTCACTGTAAGAGAAGGTTACAATTACAAAAAGTTACAAAACTAGAATGAACCTTGTGAAATTGGATAAGAATTAGTATGAACTATTGGTTTTAAATATAGACAGATCAGTTTAGAAATACAGAAGTAAAGATTTGTGTAACTACAACTGGCTTCATAAGTAAGAAAACATTTTTTTATAATTTTTTTTTTGTAGTTATCTTAAGTTTCAAGTCTCCAGGCCAGTAAGATTTGCTGAGCAGAACTTTGTAACTTTCTGTTGTACTGATGCATTCCCTTTTGAGTTTCTTTCTCAGAAACAGCAGAGCCTCCTTGCGGTCACAAGATAACTACAAAGACTTACATTACCTATTTGTCCAGAGAAGACAAGAAA